AGAAACAAATTTTTCATTGGTTAAGGAAAGGAAACATGATGAGCGTATGATTCTAATGGGGGAAAATAAAATACCCCAATTAATACAAATATCATTGTAATATAAGTCAAATCGTAACTTGAAATTGAAAGACAAAATAAATATTATTATTACCACGGAGTCTACAACTAGCATTCCAGTTTCACTGGGTGGAGAAGCCAGGCGGACCATCTAAACAAGGTAGTCATACAAACAAGAAAAGCTTTAATTCATTTCGAAAAAAAAATTATGGAAAGAACGAGAGGCTTGAGCACGAAGTAAACCTGCTCTGTTTCACTTTGGAGGCCAAGCCGACGTATCTCATCAAATCCTTTGTGGAGAAAGGTCGCCTACATCCAGAAAAAAGGCAAAATGTGAATTTGTGAACAACATGTGAGAGTAATACTTCTCACATGCACAGCAGTCATTAATAAAATACGGTCACACCAGAATCCCTTGAGAGTCAGAGCAGGGTTTTTTTATGTAGGAACAACTAAGCCACTAGTATCTTGAATGAGGAAAGTGGAAAAAACCTTCCAAGCAACTTAAAGCGGCCAGCAGAGGGAAGGAAAACTTTGAACTTGAATTTTATAAGGATTGTTTCAATAACAAACCTGAAGCGTACCACGGGGAATGGAAACTGCTTCCCATTTATTGTCATAAGAATCCCTGCCCTTCTGAAGAAATGTCAATGCCCTAACAACCTGCATTAGTAACAAAATTTCAATATAAACGTAGTCGTAAGGAAATGGATCCAAACCTGAAAAGCTGCACACCATCTGAGCCACCAATTTATAAAGGACATACTCTTTCCAAAGGTAAGAAAAATGCTGATGCACTTGAGGACTTGCTTCCAGCATTCAATGCCACTGCCCTGCCTTGCCAATCAATTACTGGGGAACCACTTGAGCCACCTTTAGTTCCAGATGCAGCCTGAAATAAAATGCGACTCAGGAGATTAAACAAAGCATGAATCATTTTAAAACTTGAAACAAATAAGTAGGCATCCAAAGAAATATAGACATGTACATAGGATATAGGCACAAAACTAATATGACAATACAAGACTGCTTAAAGAATAAGACACGAAATCAAACTTTTTCATTTCAAGTTCCAAGCCTTTTTAAATGGTCAAATAACTTTGGAGAGTTTTGGCGGTCGTAAGATTGAAGCTGGAGTTGGCTCTTTCCCTTTGTTTGCATCTTTTATTCTTCGTTTCTGTTCTATTGTTGGAAGTTCTTTCGAACTCTCTTCATATCTTTTCAGTTTATGAACGACTTAAGTAGGTTAGGATCGGCCCTACCCTACGCCTAATCCCCCACCCATTCTTCTTTTTTTTTTTTTTTCATGTCGTAAATTCAATTCCTCATCAGTTATAGCAAAAGACAGAAAAAAGAAACATTGACACACGAAAAGTTAAATCACTCACTTGCATGTAGAATGTGTTGAAATCATTATATCCATCTCTGCAACAAACGTAAAAATAATCGTTATGCTACAAAAACAAAAACAAAAAATATTTAATTGGCCTGACAAACAGCAGGCAACAGGTCACAGACAAGTAACAGAAAAACTAAAACAAAGTATAAAGTCGTGATGATTACTGCTCCAGTGTGAAGCGCAAGTCTTGAGGCAGTATGAGAAGTAAATCTCATTTGAAATTAAAAAAATATATTTAAAGACATAAAACCTTATATATTCCTAACATTGAAATATTTCTTAAAAGTACATAACACACTCAAAAATTAATAATTATTAAAAAAATCTAAAAAAATCCACCGATTTTCATTACTACTTTCTTGCATTAATAATAATCTAAACAAAATGGAAAAAGTAGGAAAAAGAATAAAACTCGCTGTGAACAAACGCAATAAAGAAAACAAGAGTAAGGAAAAAATAAATAAAACAAAACTCACGTAGTTGTGTTGTTGTCAAAAATAAAATCAAATGTATGTTTATTTTTTATTTTCTATAAACAACTTGAAAATAAAAGTATTTTATATACTGCAAATTCTTTAATATAAAATGCTAAATAGGAATGCATAATACCTAGACCATAATTCAATGTTTCATTTGAAGTAAAAATAATAACCTGAAAAAATAATTTATGAAAAAGACAATGAAACAGCATAACCTACTTCTTATAATGAGGAGCCTCCCGATCCAGTCGAGCAAGGGTACCAGCTAAGATAGAAACCTGTAAAATCATTAAATAAGAGTTCATGTATGTGTAGGAATGCAGTTAAGCTAAAAGTGTTCATGTATGTGTCGGAAAATACTCAACACGTTTCTAGCCCCATTGGAGTTTGAATCTACAAATTGATTTTTGGGCTTGGTAGGAATGCAGGGGATGCTAACTTGAGTGAAGTAATCTAACAAGTCCACTGTCTCAAAATATATATATATTGCCTTTCTATTTGGCATTTAAGCTAAAAGTCCTACAAAGTCTCATACTAAAAAATAATGGATGAAACTTTTTTTGCAATATATGCCAGTACTTCAACATAGTTCATCATTTAGCAATAGGAAAAATAATGCAAGGACTGGACTGAACAATATTTTTCTTTTTCTTTTCTATTCTCCTTTTTTTTTCCTTTTTCCTTTTAAGAAACAAGGATAAATCAATGATATTGTACCTTCTCGCCACTATCATTGCCAACAACTCTGATTTCGAGTCCAACACTAGCAGCCTCTGGAGCCAGGGGAATCTCGTCGTAGTTAAGAAATTGTATTGCCCCAGGATCATAACGAAAGAAGCCAAAATCATGGACCTAATAAAGATGATAGCGACGTGCAAAATATTAGTGGTCACTCCTATCTCATCATAAATAAATAAAAAACTTTAAGAAAAACAAAGCTATAAAACTGCAAAACAGAAAGTTAAACAATATGTTAAATACTTGTGTTTTTTTTTTTACTCAATGACAGAATAAAATGTTCAGAACCCATGCTTTCTTTTGCTATGAAGCACAGACACTTTGGGCTTTCCCTTTCGGGCTTCCCCTCAAGGCTTTTAAAACACATCTGCTAGGGAAAGGTTTCCACACCCTTATAAATGGTGTTTTGTTCTCCTCCCCAACCAATGTGGGACATCACAATTCTTAACAAATGTCTGAACTTCCAGCCAAAATCAAAGGCCTTTTTTTCACAAGTCCGTCGTAATGACTTCAGTATTAAACCAATTGGTTGGCTATAAGCCATTTATATGAAGGATAGTAGCAAGTATTTTTCAATCAAGAAACAGATAGACTGACCGGATCTCTGTATATAGGTCGTACAGGAACTTCTTCCCTGTTCACAAACATAGCCTCTGCTACTACAGGTCCTGAAAACAAAGAATACAAGAAGAAATTTTAAAATAGATGGCCAAATCTGTAAGATTCATACAATTATAAGTGACACAGAACAATAACAGATTCATACAATGTATAATTCTGCTACTAGATGGACAACAATTAGTAAACCCAAGAGAAAAGGGCATTCCTGATGGCTGATTCTTGCTTTGAAATTTAAACACACCGCATTGTGCAGCATTTATCTTGATTCAGATAATCAAATTTATAGGGGGCAGCAATTATCCATACAATGTAAAACAATCACGCCCATCAAACAGTTGATAGACTTCATTGACTTTCTGATACCGATTATATGTAAAACCTAGCTTATTTCAGATGCTCAACAATGTCTAGAAAGCAGAATTGAACTTCTACTCCATATTCAGCAAGAAAATGAAATATCTGAAATCAAGGTAAAAAAATACCTGGCTTAACAACATGTCGATTGGTGAGGATAATCCCACGGCGCTTATCGACCACAAAGCCAGTGGCATAGCTCGCACCAGCGGATTCAGTGTCGAAGGCCCGACAAGCCGTGGTGCGTAACACGACCACTGCAGGAACAACCTTGCTGAGGGCTTTCCGCCAGTCATCAGCTGTGGCCAAATTCTCGCGGAAAGGCGGGTCGATCTCCATGCAGAGCTCGTCCTTGGTTGTTGAGTCAATCCCAATTGCCGCCGATTCCGACCCCAAGCTTTCTGAAGCATCAGCCATTGAAATAAATTACTGTAAACGACTATGAATACTGCGAGGAATTGAGAAACGAGGGTGAAAATGGGAAGATAGAGAATTTAGGGTTTGATCTGAAATGGGTTTTAGAGAGGATTGAAGATGAGTCAAAATTCAGTCCATTATTTCGCCTCAACGATTAAGGATTGTCTATTGGGAAGAACCAAGAACTCTGTGCTGGTTGGTCATTGCTTCAAGATCTTCAATTATTTATTTATTTATTTATTTTTATTTTATTTTTTGGTATACAGAAATGAATAAAAGAAAACTAAAATTTCGGAAAAAGACAAATCGGAGCTGATGTGGCAATGCTTGACAAGCTGGAATTACGTGGCAAAACAGCACTTCTATTCCTTTCTTTTTTGATTTAGGTGTGATTAAATGGACGGGGGGATGTACTAAGAAAATGTTGGCCCCTAGCCATTTTTAGCCCTTTTCTCGTGTCCAAACCGCTTAGCTTATCTTATCTTAAACATGTTTTTATAGTTTGAAATATTTCATTTTAACCCTCGAATTTAGAAATTCTTTCAAAAGATTCTTTGGAAAGACTTTATTCATGTAAATTGCATGAAATTCATTAGGTAAATGATGTTATTTTATTTATTTATAGCTTCTGTATTCGTGTTAATTTCTTTCCATCGTTGCGATAAACATGTAATGGCCAAACTTCCGAAGATTGTAGGATGGCTTCAAAAAAGTTATGGGACTAGTCTCACCTAATATTGGAATTGGGAAACTAAGATAGGGTGTTGCTTATGAATATTTTGTTTCATGATATCCAAATAGCGACAATTTTATAATGTTCATGATCCACGTATATTGTTATATACAAGATGTATGCACATTAACAAACTAGCCAAATCACGAGCAAAGTTGAATAATTTTTAGCCCCACGTGCACGAAAACAACAACCCTTCATTAGATAAACTACTCACAATGAATCCATTTCAACAACTAAAGGAAAAAAAAAAAGGCATTATTTGATCAAATAAATAACGCTTTCGCTAAAACGAATTTTCTAAATGAATGAATGATGAATTGATCGGTTGACACACTCTAAATACACAAATGAATGACCATCGTACAAGAGTGAAGTTGCTTTACCGAGAGAAAAAAGGCGAAGCTGCTCGAGACTCCCGAGCTTTGTGGCTTCTGTAGTTAAAAGATAAGATGATGGTGAAGAGGCGGCATTATGATTTTTGGGAGCGGTTGAGGAATGAGCTGCTTTTGGTGATCTCAGACAATGGCTTGTCTGTGAATCTCATCAGGTTGTAAGTAAATGCTCCGGCAATAGCTCCGATCAACGGCCCAACCATGTAAACCCATAAGCCTTTGAACTGTCCCTTCACTATCGCAGGTCCAATGGTCCTAGCTGGATTCATGGAAGCTCCTGAAATCGGCCTATGTTTTGTTTTCAGAAATAATCACAAAAAAAGAAAAACAAAAAGAAAAAAAAAAGTGAGACAACTTTTTAAATGGTATAGAAAATTTTGCAAGGATTGGGTTAAGAATCCCTGCAATGAATTTGTGGGAATTGAATCTCTTGGAGAAGCATTTCCCATTTAAATTTCTTTAAAATAATATATCATGACAAACTTTCTAAATCATTAACAATTATGTGTGTTTATATATATATAACTAAAATAAAATAATAGGGGGAAAAAACAAATGGATATTCTTGATATTTAGCCTTCATGGAACACCATCATGGAATTATATCAACAGTAAAATGAAGTTTAGAGTTACCCAGCCACGAAGACATTCAACAGAACAGTCATTCCAACGACAATTCCCGCCAATTCTCCTACCTGTTAAAGAAAATATAGATGAATATAGTACTTATTTTTACAATATTATCAATCCATCAACCTCCCTAATCTAAAATAAATTAGAATTTTTTTAAAAAAAATTCTGTTGAACGAAAGTTCTCAAACTAATCCTGCGGATAAAAACATTTTTTTAATAAAGTTTTTTTTACAAACAAAATAATTAATAATCAATCAAATTCATAATGAACAATTTTAAAACAAAAGAAGTATTTAAAAACCCCCCCAAAAAAGGTATTTATGGCCATATAATAATCACCTTATTTTTAGTTTTTATATTCTTAGAAAGAAAGAGGAACCTTGGTTCCACTCTCTAATTTTCTATTTTTCTTTTTTCACAATATACTCAAATCCCACCAAGTTTTCAAAAAGAAAAAAGTATTTAAAAAGCGAGAATATTTACTAAAACCACGCACCTAGCTGTGTGAAAGTTCTCTATTTATAATCAAATAAATTATAAAAATATGGAAATAGTTATAAATGAAAAGAACAATATAGGAAAAGATACATATGTTAAGAAAGCAAATACCTAGATATTTATCCATAATCAAGTATTACTATGAATATGTAAACTATAAAAGTTAGGGCTATAAATCTTAATTTGTTCTATTAAGCTTTTGGATGACTTACAGCTCTGTGATCAGTGGAGACACCAGAGACGACTAACAGCAAGAGGAAGGTGATGATGATTTCAAGGACGAAAGATTGGACATCGGATCCTGCAGGCACTGTCCCAAAGAAGGCTTCCGGGGTCACTTCAAACAATAGGTCCAGCGTGGTGCTGGCAAGAAGGGACCCTGCTACTTGAGCTCCTATGTATATTGGAACCTGAAATATGTAATCAAACAAAATATAATTCGGCTATAATATTCATAATTGCGTTTCGTGCCAAAAATAAATTGTCTATTTGGAGTTGAAATTTCTTTAAGTTTATCATGAGATGATGGTAACAGAAGAAAGAGACCTGACAAAAGGGGAAGCGACGAAAAATGGCGAATGTGATGGTAACAGAAGGGTTGAAGTGCGCTCCAGAGACGTGTCCCAACGAATACACCATAACCATCACAATCAATCCCCAAACCACGCAGATTCCCGGGAACGTCACTGATCCGTAAATTTTGTTCACCACCACCGCTCCACATCCGGTGAAGATCACGAAGTACGTTCCAATCACCTCCGCAATAACCTGCCACAAATTTTTCCGAGAAACAAACACATTTTATACACTTGATTGATCAGATCCATGTACCGCATTTTCCGGAAAAACAAACAGGTTTACTGCGAAACAAACAATTTTTATACAATTTATCGATTCATGTGCCGCATTTGGGGAGAAACTAATGAGTTTTATACAGTCGATTGATTTGCGAGCCAGATTTTTCAGAGAAATAAACAAGTTCCTTACAGTCGATTAGTTCATTTGGCAGATTTTGCAGAGAACCAAACAATAAACTTAAACGTTGATTGATTCAAGTGCCAGATTTCGCAGAGAAACTAACAATAAACTTAAAAAGTTGATTGATTCAAGTGCCAGATTTTGCCGAGAAACTAACACATTTATACAGTCGATTGATGCATGTACCAGATTTTCCAAAGGATCAAACAAGTTTCATACTCTCGATAACCTAATATCTGCATTTCGATAGGAACCAACACAGTTATCGTAGTCGACTCATCCATATGCCAGATTTTCCGGAGAATAAAACAAGTTATCACACACGAGAGATAACGTGCAGCACTTTCCAGATAAACAAACACGTTGTATCAAACAATCAATTGATTGGCGCGCAGAAGAGAGAAATAACAGAGGCAGTTGAAGCGGTACCTTTTGGATGATAGCAACCCAAGACGATGGACGGAGACGCGCGACGCAGGTTCCGAGAGTGCCTTCCTCGAGCTTTGAAATTTCTTCCTCTTGGATTCCATCGGTCTTCGTCGCCATTGATTCTCAGATGCCGATAGAAGAAACAACGCTTTCGATCGGAACGATATCACGAATTTTCACTATGAGTTCTCCGATTAGTTTCCCTTTCTGTTCTTCCTTCTTTTTAGGAAGGCCTCGTTTGTTATGGTTTCACTTAGATGGAACTCTGAGCTTTCTCTCAATTCCTTGCGACTTATTTTACTCTATTTATATAATTTATAATATATTATATTATACGAATTTACTTAATAAAAATATTAAAAAAAAAAAAAAGACCGTTATTGCATAAATACATTAATCTTTATAAATTCATTAATTAATAAGATTAATATTTCAAAAGATGATCGTATACAAGAGAGCAAATGTTTAATATCACATATTCTTGTATGGAAGAGCTCGACTTTTTACTTACATGAGCAATAATGCATGTTGCAATTAATTCAACGTGCTCTAAAATGTTGAATTCGTTACTTGAACGACGATGTCTTTGCCTCTCGTTAGTCTAAAAATAGATTTAGTTTATGGCTTGATCATAAGCATAATTATATCTGCCGACACGACTATATATCTATAGCAATTGTTGTCCGTAAGGTTTATGAAAATTGATCGAGTTTAATTCATTAATTTTATATCATTAAAATTTATAATCTATTGGTCCTGAAAACTTATTGTTAATTTGTATGGACGGAAAAACTCGAATTAATATTTAATATATTTAATATGAAGTTTTTAAATTAATATTTCATAAAAAAAAATTATTATATTTGACCAATTAAATATTAAAATAACATTACATAAATTCATTTAAATATGATGTAGATAAAAAAAAAATACATTTTAAATATATTATTTTATATGTAAGTGATTTTCAAATAGATTTACGAGGTCATTCGTCTGTATAGAGAGAAACTAAACATTTTTTATGATGTAAAAACATTTTTTTAATAGATGTGTTTTGAAATAGTAACATTGATTCGGGCCAAAACTATATTATTGGTGGTTGTTTCATTGAGAAATGATCGATTTAATACAACAAAATGTATAATATATTAATTAAAATTTATTTTTTTTAGGTTTTAAGATGTAAAGTGATGCGAGGAGAGTGCTCAATAACGTATATTTTATGTCAGTTGAATTATATATTAAAATTTAATAATTTAGTAAATAAAAAATGAATCGCAAAAAGAGGAAAAAAAAATGAAATACCTGCGATGGGAGAAACTGTAGGGATCAAGAACATGTCACTTGGGCAATTACAAAGCTATGCCCTAACTTGAGCAAGAATCGGTTGGGCGCAACGATTGCGAAGAACAAGGAGACGACAACAAGTGGTTCCGATCCCAATAATTTAGGGAAAACGGGGGATTATTAAAGGCGGAAGAAAATGGAAGAGGAGGAGAAGAGATTTGGGGCCTAATCGAGATTATTCCAAAACCTAATCCAATCAAATCAACGCTCCAGAAGAAATGGCAGACAATGGCGTAGACTCAGCCGAGTGCGAGAGGATTTTCAAGCGATTCGATGCGAACGGCGACGGGCAGATCTCGGCGACGGAGCTCGGCGACGCATTGAACGGAATCGGAGTGAGCTCTGAAGATGCGAAGAGGATGATGGACGCCATTGATAAAGATGGCGACGGCTTCATTTCGTTCCAAGAATTCTTCGAGTTTGCCAAGGATAATCGCGCTTTGATGAAGGATTTTGCCAAAGCCTTTTAGATTTCTTTTTTTTTCCTTTTTATTTTTTTTTTTCTTTTATGGCTACAATGAAGAATTAATATCACATAAAATCATACTAAATATGTTTTTATTTATTTCTCTTTATTATGAAAAAATAAAAAAATTATTTTACTTTTAAGACCCCAACATCTAATTTTACCCTGGCTCTAATATTCAAGGAGAGTATCTTCATCCTCTTTATTTACTTTTACCATGTTTAGTTATCGATCTAAACATGTGTCTCTTTATTTATTTTTTTTACCCTTTCAATTACAAAAATTAAATATTTTAATACAATTCGACATTCCAATAAAAACAAAACTGATTTCATATTTTATTTCAATTAATTCTATATCTCACTTATAAACTTTAAAAATACAAAATATATTTAGCGATACAATTCCACCTATATTGGTTGGGGAGGAGAACAAAACATCTTTTATAAAAGTGTGGAAACCTTCTACCAATAGACTCGTTTTAAAGCGTCTTTTATAAGGGTGTGGAAACCTTTTTCCAATAGACTCGTTTTAAAGCGTTGAGGAGAAGCTCGAAAAGGAAAGTCCAAAGAAGATAATATATCTAGCGGTGGGTTTGGTTCTCAATAGTGCTCATAAAATTCCAACAACAAAAACCGAAGTTATAACACATTCCATCCCTTACTTATAAACTTTAAAAACATAAAAAATACTCTCATATTCGTTGGAAAGGGGAACGAAGTATAACTTATAAGTGTGTGGAAACCTCTTCCTAACAAGCGCGTTTTAAAACCGTGAGCCTGACGGCTATAGTTAACAGAGCTAAAGTTGACAATATATATTAGCGGTGAGCTTAGTCTAACAAATGGTATCAAAACTAGTCATCAGGCGATTTGAGGATGCTGGGTCTCCAAGAAGATGGATTGAGAGATCCCACGTTAGAGAGTGGAGAGGGAAAAGCCCTGATAAGGGTATGAAAACCACTCCCTAACGCGTTTTAAAACCGTGAGGCTAATGACTATACTTAATGGGGTTAAAGCAGACAATATATATTAACAGTGGGCTTGGACTGTTACAAAATGGTATCAAAACCAGTCATTGGGCTGTGTGCTAGCGAGGACGTTGGGTCCCCAGGGGTAGATGTTGAGGATTGTTGGGAATTCCAAGACTCAGTCTCCCATGGTATCAATATATATTAACGATATATATACGAGGCTCAGTCTCCCATGGTATCAATATATATTAACGATATATATACGAGGCTCAGTCTCCCATGGTATCAATATCTTACAAATGGTATCACTATACATTAACGATCACAAGAAGTATCTTATACTGATACGAGAATTCCAAGACTCAGTCTCCCATATTCAATTATCGTATATCTTTACTTATTTTTACCTATTCTGCAATCGATATAGCTCTGTTTCTTCCTTTATTTACTTTTACAAGTTAAACTTAAAATATTTCTTCGTCGGTCTTTATTTACTTTTATAAGTTCGGTTCAGATATAACCTGTTCAGTTACATAGATACAACCTGTTCAGTTCAGTTACATAGATACAACTTGTTCATTTTTATTTACTTTTACAAGATCGGTTCAGATGCATAAAATCAAAAAATATATATATATATATTTGGTATATTTAAAAAATTGAAAAGGTATTTAGTAGAATGAGGAATGGATACCAACATTGAGTTGCTTATAGAGTTTTGCTACCCATTACAAATTATATTTATATCACAGTGAAACAAAGAAGGTTCAAACAAAAGTTTAATATTTTAATACAATTCCACACCCAATCATACCACAAATGGGAAATATTGTAAGCAAATAAACATCTTTTATCAATAGTGCCCATGACAGTCCAATAAAAACAAAACTTATTTCATATTTTATTTCAAACAAATTCAATATCTCACTCAACTTTAAAAAATTAAAAAAATACTCACTCTCGTGTACCGCCCCCAAGAATATGGGGTCCCCATATTGGAGAGTGTGGAAACCTTTCTTGTAGATTTGGGTTGTTACAAATGGTATAAGAACCTGTCATCAGTCGAGGCTCAATCCCCACATTGGAGAGTGTGGAAACCTTTTAGCAGTGCGCTGAGCTGTTACAAATGGTACAAGTACCGGTCTCGGAGCAGAGCTCGGGACCGACTGCATCTGGCCCATTTGCAACTTCAGCTGGTGGGGCTGATGAAGATGACCTCTACAACTAGTATGTCATTTAGGTTCCAACCCCATTTGTGTTTAGACTCAATAGTATGATATTACTGGTTTAACTGCTTCTCATGGATTTGCTTTTGGTTGGACATTCTAAATCCAGTCCCACGTTGGTTAATTTAGTGGAAGACTAGGGGTTTATAAGTGAGGTTTATAAGTGAGGAATACGCCCAAAGCAAAGTTATAAGAGTTTATGCTTAAAGTGGACAATATCATAGTGGAGAGTCGTAATTCCTAACAAAGGAAAGGAGTTGGGGTTCGGTGTGCTGGCGAGAATGTTGGGTCTCTAATAAGACTCAATCCCACGTTGGAGAGTGTGCAAGCCTCTCTCTCTTAAACGTAAACTTGGACAGTTACAAATGGTATCACAACCGGTCATCAAGAAGTATACCAACGAGGATGTTGGGTTCCCAATGGAACTCAAGGGGTTCGGTGTGCCGGCGAGAACGTTGGGTCTCCAATAAGATTCAATCCCCACATTGGAGAGTGTGCAAGCCTCTCTCTCTTAGCGGTGAACTTGGACAGTTACACATGGTGACACAACCAGTCATCAAGCAGTGTGCCAAATGAGGATGTTGGGTCCCCAATGGAACTCAATCACCACATTGGAGAGTATGGAAACCTCTCGGTTAGAGAGGGAAACGAAGCCATTCCATATAGTGTACGGAAACCTTTCCCTTATTTGGAGAGGAGACGAAGCGTGAAACATCACCTACCAGGTGAAACAAACAAACAAATTAGGTTATTTTACACAACTTGCAGATCAAAAACAGATAAGAACTCTATAAACTTGATTTAATATACATTAAGTGGGAAAAAAAGTGATCATGGTGACCTGCCACAAGAGTGTTAAAAAATGATAAAAAGTTAGCCAAATTATTGAGTGGTAGTTCAAATCATTCCTCAAATGGTCACCCAAATTCACTATAAAACACTTCTATTAGCCTCAAGTTGTCACCACAAAACAAAATGAGCCGAACTGATAGCATTTGGGTAAAGGTTCCGCTGAAGTCTTCACCAGAGAAGTACTATGACTTCTTCAGGAACCATATGGGGGATATGGTCAATCTGTTACCTCAGTATTTTAGCAGCATTCAGCTTGTGGGAGGTGCAAAGTTCTCTCCTGACTGCATTATACAGTTCAAATACAGCCTCGGTAAGAGACTATCTATTATCTACGTTATCGTTTAGTTTCATTTTAGTTTCTATTTTAGTCTCGAAACTTTTAAAAACATAACGGAGTTTCTTTTCTTTGAATATGAACGAACGAACAAACGAACGAAATAGGAGGTCGATCATTATCAGCAAACGTAAAGATCAAAGCTGTGGATGATGCGAAGAAATTGTTGGCTTATAATGTTATTGAAGGAGATGTTCTAAAGCATTACAAAGTGTTTGAAGTAAGAATGGAAGTTGTTAATGGAGGGACAAGCAAAGGAGGAGGTGGGAGCTTTGCAAAATGGAGCGTTGTGTTTGAAAAGGCAAATGAAAACGTGGCAGCACCAGAAGACTACCTGGAATGGTTTGTCAAGATTTCCAAAGGCGTTGATGCTTACTTTTACAAGAACTAAAACCCTAAAACAATCAAGTGAGCTAAGCTCTTAGGCTGTGTATCAACTTGGTTTGTTCTTAAATAAAGAGTATGCACTCGTGCATATCATGTTGGTTTGATAGCTAGTAGTTAAATAAATAGGTAGCATATCATATCGCGAGTGAGGTCATCGGGTGTTGAATCTAGATTTCAAGTCTTGGACAAGTGACACTATATTTTTAGGATTTGATAACATTAAAACAAACCGAAAATGATGAGAGGATAAAGCTAACGATGAACTGAAAAAGTTTTAGTTACTTTCCTTACAAAAGTTGATTTCATGGAAGTTATTTTACTCATCGAACAAATTTCCAAAGTTTTTAAAGATCTAAGACATGCAAGTAAAATGAATAGCGATCAATAGATACGAAGGAGAGGAGAGGGTATAGAATGGAACTAGATGGATGCTTACATTAGTGGTTGAGGTGACAAGGGAGAATGTCGTAGTCACAATCTGGAATATGCATAAAGTGATCGCTTTTTCTCCTGAGTTAATTTAGGAAGAGAGATAGATGGGGCAACTATCTTAGGGGCCGTACCCAACCTATCTCGACCAACATCACAGTCGCTCTCCCTCCCTATGAATGGAAAGATGCCTAACTTTTTTGTCTCTCTCTCGGGAGCTAATTCAGTAAGAAACCATATGATTTAGGGATGAACAAAGAATTATATGCTCTTTATCGTTCGACGATAGGAATAGGTGGAAGTGAGACCTGAAACAGGGAAGAAATTGATGTAAAAATAGTGTAGCATTGAACCGCTGCTAGCTTGCATAATGAGTGAGTCGGGAGGGAGGAAAAGTGTGATATCCCACATTGGTTTGGTTGGGGGAAAAGAACGAAACATTATTTATAAGGGTGTGGAAGTCTTTCCTAGTAGACGCGTAATGGGGAAGCCCTTAAGGGAAAGCCCAAAAAAACCTTGAGGGGAAGTTTTGAAGGGAAATCCCAAAGAAGACAATATCTGGATAAGCACCGATTCTGCTGTGTAAACTCTGAAAGATGCGTTTTAAAGCTTTGAGGGAAAGCCCGAAAGGAAAAGCTCAAAATTTCAGCATTGTTTTGAATAAACAATCAAGAAAATCATTTTCACCTTCAAAATTGTGCGGGACTCTATATCTCGACCGACGCCGGGCCAACTACTTTTGAGGCCCTACCCAACCTATCTCGTCCAACACCCCTCTCCCGAGATCTACGAACCTAACTCATTAGGGATTAGGGATTCTCTTTTATCCTCTTGTAAGAAATGCTTCGTTCCCCTCTCCAAGTAATGTGGGACCTCACAATCCACCCTCCTAAGGGCCAGCGTC